TTAGAAATAAGCATAAAATTAGCTTCAAAAATGTACATTTATGTCTTTTAAAATGAATATCGATCCTCGTATATTTATAATATACATATTCAGAATCGACAATTATTCAAGGAAAAATACTTAGTATAAAATAAGCAATGCTAAATCATTACTTCAAGTTATGAGGTTGGTGTCTCTACTTTACCCAATTTTTTACTCTTAGGATTTAAGATATACAAGAATAATTTAGTGTGAACATTGTGAGTTGTATAAATGAACATTTTTTTTTTCTTTTTTTTTTTTTTTGAAGAATTGGCAATTTGGGACATCTTTTCCCTAAGATTCGATATAGTAGACTTATTGGGGTTTATGATTTATGATAAATTTTATTAATATTAAAGGTTAAGGATTATGTCATAGTAAGGAGTACCTTTTATATGTTATTGTTTATGATTATTAACATTTAATGATATGGTATTGAACATATATTTAAAGAGATGGTATAATGTTGAAATTTGAATGAACTGGTCTGGTAATAATAATGTGGTAATGAACAAGTTCATTCTAATATAGTTTTAACTGAAAACCTTTTTTTTTTTTTTTTTTTTTGAACAAATTTACAATAATATCTAACATGTTGCTATAAACATTTAGTTCTTTGTTTATGAACATATTGCTTTTCTAATATTAACATTTTGCATATACTAACATGATGTTTGCATCTAAATTAGGATGTGATTTTTGGTAATACGGAGTACTTATACAAGAGAAAGAAAAGGTCCATATCCTTCTTAATTAAAAAATCAATGTGATATTGTTTATGACAAAAACTGAAATATTGGATATCAAAGCATATAGTACCATACAATTTCACACATAATATCAAACACAATAAACTTCTCGATCCAAATTCAAAAATTCAAGTAGCTTATGTTATTGGTTCATGTTGCATGGCGACTCCATGCATGCCTTTTCAGATTCTTTCTTTTTTATCGTTTTCTTTATTTTCCCTTGCTATTGTGTGTTCCATATCCACAATTCTTTAATTTTTTTTTACCTAATAGACAAAAAATATAAATTACTAGATTTGAACAAGAATTAGTGTTGAAATAAATCAGTTTTCATATGACAACATGAATGAGTATAAGTCAAGGTCGTTTCAGAAATTTCGGTGGCCCGGGGCGAAGACATAAATTGGGGCCCTAATTCACATATAATATTTTGAAATAAAATAAAATTTGGGTAGGCAAAAAAATACATATTTTATTACGCATAATAATCTTTAAAAACATCAAATTTCATATAGATAAAACATTGAAATCAAAGCCTAAGCGTTCATATGAAAATATTTCTACGAGCCTTTCTAGATGCAAAGTCACTAATAATAGTTTCTACATTAATATGTTCTAACATATTTTTCTCAATAAATAAAGTAGCTAGACCATTCAACCTTTCTTGTGACATTGAAGATCTCAAGTAGGTCTTTAGTAATTTTAACTTTGAAAAACTTCATTCAGCAGATGCAACTGTCACCGGCATAGTTAATAGGATTCGATAGGCAATAGAAACATTTGGATAACAATCTGCAGCTTTGACAAACTCAAGGGTTTCAAAGCTGACATCAAATCATTTGGCAAAGTCATTTGTAACACTTTCAATTCAGAAAAAAGATCATTTGCATCAACATCCGAAAAATTATTATGAGTAAAGGTAGTCATAAAACTTGTGCAAGATTTTCTTAAATCGTCATTATCCAATGATTTCAACCTTTTTGCATCGAATAAAAAACCAAAAATGTTATCAAATACCTCCAATTGCTCAAATCTATCTTTCAAAGAAGCTATTGCAATATCAACAACCACCAAAAAATAATTGACTCTAAAAGATTCCTCGGGTGATTGTATTTCCTCATCATTATCGTCATTCTCATTCTCATCAAATTGTCTTTTTCTAGTGATGCGACGCTTTATTGGAAATGTTGGCTCTATATCCATATCAAGTGCAAGGATTTTGGAGTATTTAAACTAGATTCAAACCCTTCAATTCTATATTTCTCAAAATATGTGATCATAACTTGCACTTCGTTCATGACAACTCCAATAATACTCATGGATTTAGATTGCAATTTTTTACTCACAATGTTAATAGAAAATAAAATGTCATACCAAATTACCATGCCAAGTAAAAATTCAAAACTTGCTAGAGAATTAGCCAAACTTTCTGCTTCACTTTTTGTTTTAGCAATATTAGCGTCATCACCACTAGAATTATACAATTCCAACAAAGCTAATCTAATTTGAGGAGATTGAAATCTTATAGCTTTAACACTCTTAATTCGACTCTCCCATCTAGTATTGCACAAAGATTTAACAGTTAAACTCGGGAAATTGTCAACTAAAATCTTCCACCTTTTAGTGGAATATGCAAATAATGTGTATATACGTTGTACAATTCCAAAAAAAGAAATAGCTTTAACACAAGAATGTGCCATATCAGAAAGAGTGAGATTAAGACTATGACAAGCACATGGCATTTATAAAGCCCTTGGATTAATTTCAAGCAATCTCTTTTGAACCCCTTGGTGTTTCCCTTTCATATTAGAGTCATTGTCATAACCTTGACCCCTTACATCATCGATATCCAAATCAAGGGACTTACATACATCTAACAATACATTAAAAAGTCCCAAACCACAAGTATCATCTACTTTTAAGAATTCTAAAAAAAACTCTTCTATCTTGATTTTATCACTTGATACATTCACATATCTTACTATCAAAGTCATTTGTTCTTGATGGCTCACATCAGGGGTACAATCAAGGATTACAGAAAAATATTTTGACTCTTTTATTATTTTTATCATTGAAGTCCGAACACCATGAGATAAAAGATAAATAAGCTCATTTTGAATTTGAGGACCAAGGTAATGTTTGTGAATTTCTTGGCTTTGAATACGTCTAACATGATCTTGCATTACCAAATCAACACTACTAGGAATAGGCTTATTTCCGAGGGAAAGCTTCCGACGGACTTTAATTCCCTCGGAAAATTCAAAAATTCCGAGGGAAATTGACTTCGTAGGAAAAATTCGTCGGAACTGTTCCTTTCCAACGGAATATTCCGTCAAAATAGTTGCGACGGATTTGATTTCCCTCGGAATATTGATGTTTCGACGGAATATTCCCTCGGAGCAGCTTCCGACGGAAATATTTCCCTCGGAAATTACAGGTTTCCGAGGGAAATATTTCCGTCGGAAGCTGCGATTAATTAAAAAAAAGAAGTAACGTTCTGCAGTCTGCACAGAAGTGAAAATAAAAAAAAAACAAAAGAAGAGAGAGAAGGCGACAGGAAGAGGAAGAAGAAGAGGGAGAAGGAGGAAGAGGAAGAGGGTGAAGGAGGAAGAGGGAGAAAGGGGAAGAGAGAGGAAGCGGAAGAGAGAGAAAGGGAGGAGGAAGAGAAAGAGAAAGGAAGAAGGAGAACGAGGATGAGTGAAAAAGGCCTCCACCCAGCCGCCGCCGCCGACGCCACAGGGCCCCCTCCGCTGCCGCCCCGCCGCCGGTAAGGGTTTGTTTATATTGTTTTTAAATTTTTTTTTTCCTTCAAACCATAACCACCACCTTTGAACTAGGGTGTACGGGAGTGTTCACCTAGTGGTGAAGTTGTCGGCGAGTCAACCACGACCAGCCACTGCCGTCGCCACCAGCAGGTTGTTTGCTTTTTTTCTTTGCTTTTCTGGGTTTTTTTTTTTTTTTTTAAGTTAATAATTCAAGCTTAAATCATAAATGTAGTTAATGCTTTTGTTTGGTGTTAATTATTTTTGTTAAATTTGAATATTTTTAGGTTTTGTGTGTTGAATTGTTTTTTTGGCAATTACAAACTCAGATCTACAGGTTAGACATTATTCTAAAGCTAAATTTATAAATTTAGTACATACTTGGCATGTTAAATCCTAATGGTGTGTAGATATGTGGTAGGTTATTATTGTTTTTAGTTATTGTATTTACAATTTGTTATATTTATATTTCAATTTGTTGAAATTTTTGAAATGAATGTGTTTGTGTCATAATATGTTAGATTAGTGTAGTTTATTTAAGTATAGTTTTTAATTACTTTATTATAACCCGTTACTTTAGTTTGGTATAGTTTAGGGTAATATGTTAGTTTAGTGTAGTTGTATTATAATAGGTTAGTTTAGTTTGGTTTAGTTAAATATAATAATGTATGTTGGTTTAGTTTAGTTTAGCTTAATATGATGTATGTTAGCTTACTTTATTTTAATATAATGTTGTTTAGTTTTGTTTAATTTATTATAATGTAGGTTGGTTTGGTTTAGTTTAATATGATGTATGTTACATTACTTTAGTTTAATATATTGTAGCTTAGTTTAGTTTAATTTATATAATGTATCCTATTTTGGTTTAATATAATGAAATTTTATTGTAGTTTGGTTTTGTTTGATTGGTTTATTTGAATATTATGATATTATGATATGTTAACTTTTTTTAGATAAATTATGATATATTTGTTAGTTTAATGTAATGCAAGTTAGTTTATATATATATAATCATTTGCATAATCATATGCCTAGATACTCGTTCAAGGCATACACATTAGGAGTATGTCTTGAATAGTCCTCGGTTGGGACTGTCCGTGTACGCTTATTCTCACTTAGGTGGTAAATGTAAGCCTTGTTTTTTATTCTAGGGAAAATCCTGCCTTTTCATGCACTTCTCTACCGTGTTCTCTGGGTACATATGTAGGTGTGTATAATCGCCTACATCGTGTACTTGGAGAACTGTAGGGAAATGCTGGCGGATTTTCCGTAGAATTGAAAACCTGGGTTACATTCACTAGTGAGAATAAACGTACAAGGATGGGTTAGGTTGGAGTGATAAGGACCCTTTGGAAGCATTTCAAATCTCATTTGCATTTCCATAACGCTGTGGTGGATAATGACTGCGAAATACCGTTCATGACTAATGTGATTGTACATATGCGTGAGCTGTGTAGAAGTTGTAATCATGAAACGAAGAGAACGTAGCTGGATGTATAAAAGGACGATTGGGCAAAGTATTAATCCAGATTTCGTGAAAGGAGTTGATGAATTCATTCAGTATGTCAGAGATCATCCCGAGAGTAGTAATCCGGATGAGGTTAGGTGTCCATGTGTTAAATGTAAGAACAAACGCCTTTGGAATGCGGATACGGTTAAAATTCATCTGTATGACAAGGGTTTCGTACCTAACTATTATGTGTGGATGTGTCAAGGGGAGGGGTATCCGGGAGTTCCCGAACGGCGGTCCAATGAATATCATGACATGGTTTTGGATGCTTTTGGTCATAGTCAAGATCAGGGGCATTCCGAGGAGGCTAGTGTTTCAGCAGAGGAGGAGCCTAATGAAACTGCTAAGCATTTTCTGGATTTGTTGAAGGCTTCTGAAAGGCCATTATACGAAGGGAGTTCTTTGTCTGTGTTAGAGATGGCCGCTAGAATCACTAGTCTCAAATGTGAGTATAATTTGCCTCACAGATATGTTGATGGGTTTATTTCTTTGCTAAGTGAGGCGATTCCGAACAACAATCATATGGCCGACACTTTCTACGAGGTGAAGAATATTGTGAAGGGGTTGGAACTGTCCCATCAAAAGATTCATGCGTGCCCGAAAGGGTGTATGTTGTTTTGGAAGGATGATGCTCAGTTGTCTAAATGCAGGGTAAGTGGCAGCGACCGATACAAGCAGACTTCCAAAGGTAGCCTAGTGCCTTTGAATGTTCTATTTTATTTCGCGATCACACCCAGGTTGCAAAGACTGTTTGCAACGAAGAACATTTCGGAGGAAATGACATGGCATTCGAAAAATCCCATAGTTCAAGGCACAATGGCACACCCTAGTGACAGCGCAGCTTGGAAGCACCTCGATTGTCGATTTCCAGAGTTTGCTTCTGAGCCTCGTAATGTGAGACTTGGCTTGTGTACAGATGGTTTTGCTCCTCATGGTAAGTTTGGGGGTCAATATTCTTGTTGGCCTGTCATTTTGACCCCTTATAACTTGCCTCCCTCAATGTGCATGAAAAGACAATTCATGTTCCTTTCGTTGCTCGTTCCTGGTCCTAAAAACCCTAAGGGCAACTTGGATGTTTACATGCAACCGTTGATAGAGGAGTAGAAACTGTTGTGGGAAGTCGGCGCGGCTACTTATGATATTTCGAAGAAACAGAATTTCAATCTTCGAGCAGCCATCCTATGGACCGTTAGTGACTTCTCGGCTTATGGCATGTTGTCTGGTTGGGCCACGGCTGGTAAGAAATCTTGTCCACATTGCATGGAGAAGACCAAAGCATTTTGGCTTGAACATGGTGGTAAAGTTTCTTGGTTTGATTGCCACCGACAATTCCTGCCGACAGATCACCCTTTTCAGAACAGTAAAACAGCATTCTGTAAAAACAAAGTAGAGAAAGGAGCCCCTCCACAGATCATGCCAGGAGAGGAGTTGTGGGAATGTGTTAAGGACCTTCCGAAGGTTACAGATGGACCCGATTCAATTAAAAGGCTGAAAAATGAAAAGAAGGGGTGGTTCAAGCAAAGCACCTTGTGGGAGCTCCCATATTGGAAGCATCTCCTCATTCGTCACAACTTAGATGTCATGCACATCGAGAAGAACTTCTTTGATCAGTTAATTCACACTGTAATGGATGTGAAAAAGCTTACGTGTGACACGCCTTCAGCTCGGAATGACATTGCTAAATATTGTAAACGTCCCAAGCTTCATCTTCAAGAGGATGATAGAGGAAAAGAGGTAATGCCAAAGGCTCCATTCGCTCTTGACAAGGCTCAGAGAAAAGTTTTGTATGAGTGGGTTAAATAGCTGCGGTTCCCTGATGGTTACGCCTCCAATTTGAGCAAATGCGTAGATTTGCAAGCGTGTAAGCTCTATGGAATGAAAAGCCATGACTGTCACGTGTTCATGGAGAGGATTTTGCCCACAGCTTTGAGGGAATTGCTCCCTGTCCATATTTGGAATGCAATTACAGAGATCAGCCAATTCTTCCGCGACTTGTGTTGCTATACAACATCAGTTAGTGACATGGAGCGATTGGAGAAAAACATACATGAGATCCTCTGCAAGCTTGAGAAGATCTTCCCTCCTGCATTCTTTAACTCCATGCAGCATTTGCCTACACATTTGCCGTACGAGGGGAAGTTATGTGGTCATGTACAATACAGGTGGATGTATCCCTTCGAAAGGTAAATCAAATACCCTTATTTCACATCCTTTATTTTACATCCTAATCAATTGTTCATACAGTTACATAACAACTGTAATTGCAGGTTCCTTAATCATATGAAACGGAAAATTGGGAACAAGGCTCGAGTTGAAGGGTCCATAAGCAATGCTTATCTCACTGAAGAGATAGCAAACTTCTGCTCCAATTACTTTCAGTCGACAGTTGACACTAAAACTCGAGATCTTGGTCGAAATGTGAATGCCGACGTTGAGTCCACATCGGACGACGCTGAAATACCAGAGTTGTTCAAAGAGGACAGTGGTCATGTGTCAAATGAGGGTAGAACTCGGTTCTTAGATGACAAAGAACTCGAGTGTGCACATTTGTTCGTGTTACGAAACACCGGCATTCTTGGCGAATACGAAAGGTATATTAGGCCTAGGTATTCAGTGTATTCGTATTTACGATCATTTACAATGATGACTTTGTAGATTTACATTGTGTGTTTGGCCTCGTAGGAAGTTTGAGGAGTACATTCTTAGTACTCGACCTTTCCTGCGTAGAGAAGATGTCATGGAGAATTTCGAAACTAAATTTTCTGATTGGTTTCATCACAAGGTGATATACGCGGTGTAACCGTGAAATAATAATGAATTTTACATGTTACATTTCAATTCATTGAATTTAGGAACCTTGATGATGATATTCAACCACTTTATAGGTGGTCGAAGAGAAGCCAAATTCGGATGTCCTGCGAGCGTTGTGCATGCGTCCCTTCAGGCGAGTTCGTACTTGGGGCCAGATTTTTGTAGGTGGATTTAATTTCCATACACATGCCCATGGCAAGCACAAATACACCATGAATTATGGTGTGTGTGTATCAAGTGAGGATGGCGGAGAGTACTTTGGCATCTTAGACGACATAATTGAACTTGTCTACACGGGACCCAAGAGACAGTACAAGACAATTTTGTTTAAGTGCAATTGGATGGATTGTGGGGGGGAATGAGCATACACGAACAATACAAGCTAATCGAAGTAAATCATACTAAGAAATACCCCAAATATGATCCATTTGTTTTATCTTACCAAGTGACTCAAGTGTACTACGCATCATACCCTAGCCTAAAACGGGACCGAGTTCGATGGTGGTCTATGTTTAAAACACATGCAAGGTCAGTGGTTGATGCTCCGGTGGACTTAGAGTTTCTGCAATCACCATCCCCAACATTACATGCAACACTTTGCCCGCCGAGTGACATTCCAGACTACGCTATGGATGATGATGATGAAGACGATGACGATGGCTTTGTGATCTCAAGCGATGAAGACGATGAATCTAGTATCGGCTCTAGTGATAGTGACAATGATGATGACATCGATGTAGTATTAGATGATAGTAGTGATGACTCTAGTAGTGAAAGTAGTGATGAGAGTATTGAATAGGAGAAAATGTTTATCTCCTTTAAATGTATGCTTCTTATTGTAAAATCAAAATATTAATGAGGCTTATGTAAAACTTTTTAGTGTTTGTATAAAAGCCATATTACGTTGCACTGCACTCCTTATTTATAATATCTTGTCATTTTACTAACATCTGATTCAGGTAGTCATGGCTGGTGGAAAAAGTGGGCAGTCGTCGAAGAAAGCAAAGGGGAAAGAGAAAGAGACCGGCCGCGCCCTGTTCACCGATGACCAGGATGAGGAGATGTTCAATGCGGAGGCAGCCGATTTGGGTGAGGATCAGACGTCTCTATCCACTCCTGTAGAAGATGGGCCACGGGATGAGTCAGAGGACGAGCCACAGGATGAGTCACAGCTCCCGTTTTTGGACCCTACTACGCTGTGGTAAGTAAATATCATGATATGGATGATCAGATACAAGGCTTATATTACTTATTTCGAACTTGTTTAACATTGTTGTTTCCCGTTTGTTATAGGTTTGATGATCCTAATGTTCGGAGTGCGGTATCCGGTACAATTACTGGATACTACCGAGCCCCTTGGAGGAACTTCTCCGAAGTGCCTCCAGCTACGAAGGAACACTGGTGGAACTTGTTCAGCGTATGATATTTTTGGGTCTTGGTTAATACATGTTTTAGCTATTGTGTTGATTTAGTTTTGTGTATAACTTTTGTATTTTATCATTTGTAGGCACAATACAGATGGGCACCTCAGATGGACGAGCTAGTGAAGATCACATTTCGGAGGAGGGTAGCCACACGCCTGCGTGACATGTTCCATACCATCACGCACAAGATGAAAGGCGCCAGGCCAAGTTGGTTGAGTGCGGAGCTCCACAAGGAGATGATGGACATTGTTGCTAATGATCCAACTTACAAGGAGAGGTCAGCGCAGAACCAGAAGAACAGAAGGGGCGGTTCTATAGAAAATCCCGTCCGAGGGACCCACTTTCAGGGTTCGTTGGCAGCTACCCAACATGCAAAAAGGATGGTAAGTTTATTTAAAAATATCTTATATTACAAGACATATTTGTGTATTTCAAAGTAACAAGGGTTTGACATGGTTAACGATTATTCCTATTTTTTTTGTATCAAAGGCGGTGAAGAACAAGGGCCAGCTACCAACAGCTCTTGAGCTGTTTCTGAAGACACACTTCAAGGAGTTGCCTGGGAAAGGCACAGTGCCAGTAAACCCCACAGCTCAGCAAATTGCGGTAACAAATTCCCTAAACTTTTTTCCTTGGTTAATTATTCATGAATAGGTGTAGATAAAGAAATAGGTCATTTGGTCGAAAACGTAGTAAATGGGTAAATAATAGGTCATATACTTCATAGTTGGTTCAATTTGGCTCCAAATGCGTCCAAAAACTTAGGGAGTTGTTATTATATGTGCTTTCAAGGTATGTATCCCTTAGAATACCTATGATAGACATGTTATGAGAAAGAAATAGGTCATTTTGTAGAAAACGTAGAAAATGGGCAAATAATAGGTCATATAGGCCATAGTTGGCTCAATTTGGCTCCAAAATGCGTCTCAAACCTTAGGGAGTTGTATTTTTTTGGCATTTCAAGGCATTTACCACTTATACTACCTGTACCAGAGATGTTTAGAGAAAAAAATAGTTCATTTGGTCAAAAACATAGAAAATGGGCAAAGAATAGGTCATACAGGCCTTAGTTGGTTCATTTTGGCTCCAAAATGCGTCCCAAACCTTAGGGAGTTGTATTTTTTTGGAATTTCAAGGCATTTACCCCTTAGACTACCTTTAATAGAGATGTTTAGAGAAAAAATTAGTTCATTTGGTCAAAAACACAGAAAATGGGCAAAGAATAGGTCATACAGGCCTTAGTTGGTTCATTTTGGCTCCAAAATGCGTCCCAAACCTTAGGGAGTTGTATTTTTTTGGCATTCCAAGGCATGTACCCCTTAGACTACCTGTAACAGAGATGTTTAGAGAAAAAAATAGTTCATTTGGTCAAAAACATAGAAAATGGGCAAATAAAAGGTCATACAGGCCATAGTTGGTTCATTTTGGCTCCAAAATGCGTCCCAAACCTTAGGGAGTTGTATTTTTTTGGAATTTAAAGGCATGTAACCCTTAGACTACCTGTAATAGAGATGTTTAGAGAAAAAAAAATAGTTCATTTGGTCAAAAACATAGAAAATGGGCGAAGAATAGGTCATATAGGCCATAGTTGGTTCATTTTGGCTCCAAAATGCGTCCCAAACCTTAGGGAGTTGTATTTTTTTGGCATTTCAAGGCATGTACCCCTTACAATACCTAAAATATGCATGTTTAGAGAAAGAAATTGTTCATTTGGTCAAAAACATAGAAAATGGGTAAAGAATAGGTTATATGGGCCATAGATGGCTCAATTTGGTTTAGCTTATTTGTATAACTTACTACTTCGTTTGTTCCATTTTATATGTTTATCTTGTAGGAGGCTTACCAGAAGAGGGTTGAGGCGGCTAGCACTCAAAGGAATCAGAAGAGTCCGAATGAGCTGTACTGGGAGACAGTGGGTGGTCGGAACAAAAAAGGACGTGTGAAGGGACTAGGCGAAAGTGCTGACATGTACTATGGCAGCCAGATAGGTCGCCGACTTTCTACCTCTTTCATGCAGTACACGCCCTCCTTTGTTTCTGATAAGTCGTGTTTTGTGTATATTATTTGGTTGGTTTTTAGTTAGTTTTGTTAGTTTAGTTGAGTATTTGAGTCCGTTTTGGCGTATTTTGCTCTACTTTGGATAATCCGATGCTTTTATGGGTAGTTTTGTTGTTTTTGATGATTTTCAGGAATAATGGAGCTAATTTGGATGAATTATAGATCCACGAAGTAAGTCAAAGCCCATGGAGTTTGGAGATTGAAGAAAAGTCAAGAAAATGGCATTTTAGAGGTAGGCACGGCCGTGCCTCCCCATTAGGCACGTTCGTGCCTTTGCGCCAGAAGCTGCGCCAAAGGAAGACCCTAGGCACGTCCGTGCCTAGCAGAAGAGGCACGTCCGTGCCTAGGTAAAGAAGCAGGCACGTCCGTGCCCAGCATCAGGCACGTCCGTGCCTGGAAGACAGAAACTGCAGCAATTTTGCTACGTAAAGACGCACGTCCGTGCCTATGAAGTGGCAAGTCCGTGCCCAGCATCAGGCACGTCCGTGCCTGGAAGACAGAAACTGCAGC